GTCTTTCTGTCTTGTTGTGAGACACCTTGTCTTCTTCGGAGGGAGGGAGGGAAAGAAGGAAGGAAGGAAGGAGAGAAGGAGCGAAGGAGGGAGGGAGGGAAGAAAAGAAAGAAGGGGGGAGGGAAGGAGGGAAGGAAGGAAGGAGGGAGGGAGGAACGAAACAACAACCAAAAAAAGGTGTTGAATGTGTTATGTTTCTGCTGATACCCGCAATGAAGTCTTTCTCCCTTTTGGGATTATTCGCCTGTGTAGACGCAGTCTGGTTTCCCCAGAATCAGGGTTTTTTTTTTTTTTTTTCGTGTGGTGGGGGAGGATGGGTGAGAGCAAGGCCAGTCCTTTGAAGTATTGTTTTTTTTTTAAAAAAAATCTATTTGAAATTAGGTTTTAAGTAGATTAGATTTTTAAATCTAATTTAAAAAATCGGTGCACACCAGCTTTTTGGCGTAGACAGGGGTTGTTAGATTTGATGTTGGGAAAGGATTCTTGAAGTCTTGTCTTTTTAACTTAGCACATGGATGCAATTAGTTAGAAATGTTACCCACGGATAGTTTTCCTTGAGTGGGGGAGTCTTGTGCTGTGTCTGATGGTCCAAGGAATCAGGTGACAATTTCCAACATTGAGAATTACTTTTTTTTTTTTTTTTTTGAGGCAGAGTCCTTGCTCTGTCCACCCAGGTCTAGAGTGCGCGTGGGTGTCATCGTAGCTCACTGCAGCCTCCAACTGCTTGGCTCAAGTGATCCTCCTGCCTCAGCAGGCCTCCAAAGTAGCTGGGACGACCAGGTGTGTACCACTTGTGCCTGGCTCCGTTTTCTTATTTTTTTGTAGAGAATGGGGTCTTGCTGCGTTGCCAGCGCTGGTCTGGAACTCCTAGTCTCAATGCATCCTCAGCAGCCCCGGGCCCCTCCTAAATTTGCTGGGACTACAGGCACCAGCAGCAGGCCCAGGTAACTTTTCTATTATTAGTAGAGACAGGGTCCCGCTCTTGCTCAGGCTGGCCTCAAACTCCTGGCCTCAAGCGATCCTCCCACCTGGGCCCTCCAGAGTGCCGGGATCACAGGCCCTGAGCCACCGCATCCAGGCGAGAACTACTTTAGCCTGGAGGAAAAACCCTTCCCCCCGAGCACTGCCTTGCCCCAAGGGCTCGGCAGGTCTGCCTGATTCCACCGGGTGACGGTTCTCTGTGTGTCGTGCATGAAGACGAGACAGGGTTGGGGCCAAGTTTCCCCCCCCCCCACTGTTCGGGGGAAGGGGATTGGAAAAAGGGAAAGAGATTTTTGCTATTTTTTTTGGACCCCACCACCCCCACTTTCAGCCCCCCAACCTTTTCAGAAAATTTGGAACCAAAAATTGGGACGCTAAGGGACTTTCCCTTAAAAGATCCCCAAAAACGGGGTTTTAGCAAGAGGTTTTTTTTTTGGAAAGGAAAAGAAAAGAACAATTAAGGCAACAACAGAAACTTTTCCCTAAAAAATCACTTTACGATCCCCCTTGTCCCCTAGTTTTGCTTTTTTGTGGGAAGTGGTCTAAGAAAATTTTGGGCAAAGGAAAAAAGCCCCAATTTTCCCATATTGCCAGCCCTTGGCCACCTTTTTCCCCTCTTTTTTTAAGGAAACGTTTTTTTTTTTTTTTTTTTGGGGTTTTTCCTGTTCCCTCCCCTCCTTGGCACCCCTGTTGGGGGGAATTTCTCCGGGGCAAAAAAGCAAAAAGAATACGGTCCCCCCCTGGGTTTTGTGGCCCCCCTGGCTTTTTTTTGTTGGGGCCCGTCCCCTTCTTTGAGGCCCCCTTTTCTCTTTTTTCCCCTTTTAGGGGTCCCCCCCCACCCCTTTTTTTCGCATTGTTCCTTGGTGGCCTCACCGCGGAACGAAAAAAACCCCGCGGTGGGGTCCCCCCCCCCCCGCCTTTCCCCGGTTGAAGCCCCCCCCCACCGCCCCGCCCTTGCGGTGGGTTTCCAAGGTTTTTTTATTTTTTTTTTTTGTTTTTTCCTAAGGCCATCCGTTTTTCCCTTTCCCTTTCCTTTTTTTCCCTTTCCGGGTTGGGTCCCTTTTTCCCCTTTTTTTTTAATTTTAAATGCCTTTTCGAACCTTTCGAGTCCCCTTGGGGTTTTTTTTTCCAGTAAACCAGAGACGTCGGGTTTTTTTTAAGCCCTTTCCCGACTTTCCCTTTTTTTTTTTTTTTTTTTTTGTTTCCCCTTTGCCCAACGGGTTCCCCCTTGGGGTTTCCTCGATTTTATGCCCCGCTTTTTGTGGGTTTTTTGGTGGGCGGGGCTTTTTTTCCCCGACCCGCACGCCGGAGATGGGAGGAACCCCCCCAAGAAGGGCTTTTTTCCCCCGGTTGCTTTGTTTTAAAAAACATTTTTTTTTTTTTTTTTTTTTTTTTAACCCTTGTGGTTTTTTTTTGTTTTTTCAAAGGCAGAAACCTTTTTTTTCCGGGCCCCAAAAAACAAACGAAACCCCCGAGGGTCCTTGTCCCCCCTCTGTGCCTTCCTTTGGGGGTCCCTGAGGAGGTCCCCCCCCTCCCACGCTGCCCTTTGGGGGATTTTGGTAATTTTTTTTTTTTTTTTTTTGGATTTTTTTTTTTTTTTTTTTTTTTTTTTCCTTTTTTTTTTTTTTTTTAAAGTTTTTTTGGATTCAAGAAAATTTCTTAAAGTTGGGAAAAAAAATTAAAGCGGCCGGGGGCTTTTTGGTTTTTTTTGGCCCCTTTTTTTTTTGCCCTTTTTTTTTTTTTTCTTAAACCTTTTGCGTTTTTTTGGGTTTTTTTTTTTTTTTTTTTTTTGTTGGTAAGGAACCAGTGGGGGAAAATTTGGGGGAAGTATTGGGTTTTAGGTTCCAAAAGTCCAAAAGCCCCGGGGGGGGGGAACCCATTCCCATCAGAAATGTCAAGGGTTTGGCCCTTTTTTCTTTGGCCCTTGCCCCTTTTCCCCTTCCTCCCCTTTTTCCCTTTCCCTTTTTTTTTCCTTTTCCCTTCCTTCCTCCTTCCTTCCCCTTCCTTTTCTTTTTCCCTTTCCTCCCTCCCTTCCCCCACTTCCCTTTTTTTTTCCCTTTTTTTTCTCTTTTCCTTCCCCCTTCCTTTTCCCTCCTTTCCTCACCTTTTCCCTTTCCCCTCCCTCCTTTTTTCCCTTTTTTCTCCCTTCCCTCCCTTTCCCTCCTTCCCCCTCCTTCTCCCTTCCTTTTTCTTCCCCTCCCTTTTTTCCCTTTCCCTCCCCTGTCTCTTTCCCCTTTTTCCTTTTTTTCCCCCTTTCCCCCCCCTTCCCCTTCCCCCTCTTTTCCCCTACCCTTCCCCTTTCATTTCTTTCTTTTTCCCTCCTCCTCCATTTCTCCTCCTCCCCTTTCCCCCACCCCTTATTTTCCCCTTTCCACACAGATAGACATATATTTTTCCCCCCTTCCTTTTCTTCCATTTCCCTGTTATTCCACTCCCCTTTTCCCTCCTTTCCTCCCTCCCCTCCTCCTCCCTTTCCCTTTTCCCTTTTTTTCCTTTTTTCCTTTCCCCTTTCCTTCTCCTTTCCCCTTCCTCCCCCTCCCTTTTTCCTTCCCCCTTCCCCTTTTTTTCCCTCCCTCTTCCCCTTTTTCCCTCCCTTTTTTTTTCCTTTTTTTCCTCCTTTTTTTTCCTTTTTTCCATTTTTTTTTTCCCTCCCTCCCCCTTCCTCCTTTTCCCCTTCCCCTTTTCCCTCCCCCCTCTTCCTTTTTCCTTTTCCCTTCCCTTCCCTCCCCCCTTTTCCTTTCCTTTTCCTTCCTTTCCCTTCCCTTCCCTTCTTTTTTTTCCTCTTCATTTCCCTTTTCCCCCTTCCCTCCTTTCCTTTTTTCTTTTTTTTCCCATTCTTTTTTTTTCCCTCCTTTTTCCTTTCCTTCCTTCCCCTCCCTTTCCTTCCCTTTTCCCTTTTTCTTGCCCTTCCCTCCTTCCTTCCTTTGTTCCTTCCTTTCCTTAATTTTTTTTCCTCTTTCTCCCTCCCCTTTTTTCCTCCTTTTTTCCCTCCTTTTTTTCCCCCTCCTTTTTCCCTTTCCCTTCCCTTCCCTTCCCTACATTTCCCCCCATCCTTTCCCCCTTTCCTTTTTTTTCCTTCTTTCCTTTTTTTTCCTTCTCTTCCCTTTTTCCCTTTTTTCCCTTTTTTCTTTTCCCTTCCCTTTTTTTTCTTTTCCCCCCTCCTTTCCTTTCCCTTTTTTTTTCCTTTCCTTTCCCTCCCTTTCCTTTCCACCTTCCTCCCCTCCTTTTT